GAAGAAGGCCGCCGCTGCAAAGGCCGGTTCAGACTCTGAGTTTGAGTCGCCACCCTCATCGAAAGACAAGGGGAAGGCAAAGGCGAAGAACGGTTCGACAGGCAAGCGGAAGAGGTCAGTCCTCGTACATCAATCGTAGTCCTGGCCGCTCATTCAGTCTTCCGTAGTCTCGACAACGACTTCGACGATAGTGATGATGACAAGCCGATCAAGCCTGCAGCGAAGAAGAAGAAGCCTTCTCCCGTAGAGGACGATGACGGCGACATCATGGAGGTCGACCCGCCCAAGAAGAACGGCAAGCAGTCAGCCATCACGGACTTCATTGGGAAGGGAGCGCCTCCTGCCAAGAAGGCTCCCGCAGCGCGCAAGGCGTCGTCTAGCAGCCAAGCTCCGAAGAGCAAACCTGCCCCGGCTAAGAAACCTGCGAAGAAGGTTGTCGCGTCTGAGGACGACTTCGACGATGACGATGACGACAGCGTCCCTCCGCCCCCGCCCAAGCGCACGGAAGCACCGAGACGTGCAGCGGTAGCGAGGACGGTGTCCAAGTATGTGGAGATCTCGTCTGGCGACGAGGATGAGGACGGCTCGACCTTCGAGGACTTTGACTAGAATGACGGGCCAGGTGCCGTTTCGCTATCAGACTTATGTATGGCTTCGGTTTGTTCTTGCTCGTTCGACGTGGCTGCTGCGTTCTGGTGCGCTTGTATTCTTATGACTTTCCTCTGTATCCGAGATCGCGTTCTGACCATGACGAGTACTGTTGATATCCGTACCATTACTCATCCAATCGTGTTCGATGATATCCTAATGACAATGATGACGTTCGTGTTTCTGTACTATGCTGCGTGCGGGCGGAGGGTGCACACGTCCACTTAGTGCGATGGCGGCTTGAAGTCCTTCAGCCATGCCTTCACGAAGGCGATCTCTTGGTGGTGGATAGTCTGGATGAAAGCAGGCTCGGCACTAGGATCCGCGAGACCATTCTCGTCCCAGTGATGGACAGCGGTGGGGATGAGCTTGAACGGACGCAGAGTGGTGTCGGGGCGAGGGTGCGCTGCGGGATCAGGGCTGTGGGGAGTGTCGCCTCTCCAGGGTCGTCTACAGAAAACCATGTGAAGTCAGGACGGCGATAATACTTGTATGAGTGTATGACCTTACCTTGGCCGTCGATGATGGCGAGCCGGTCAGCTGCGATGTTGTACCCGCCGAGCTTGTTCACGGCCTCTACGTCGGGCTCCGCTGGCACGGTGAAGTGCTCTCCGGGAGGGTATGACTGGGCAGCACGTCACATCAAAGGTTCGCTCCGCGGGAGGAGGTGAGATCATCACGTACGAGCGTGCAGGAGAGCTCCCCGTAGTCCTTGGTTAGGAGGTTAGAGATGATACGTGGGATCTTCGGGTCGGGCGGCGGCGTCTGTCATTACAAAGAGGACGGTCTCAGTCGGGTGATCAAGCGGCGCATCGCACTGAAGATGATGTCGCACCATGAGGAAGCCCCATTGCGTGCACACTTGGAAATTCCAGAGACGCCATGTCTGCGACAGGTCGGTCTGCTCGTAGAACTCCTTGTTCGTGATCGTGCCGAAACACTGCACATTGATCGTTAGTGCCAGCGATTCCCCGCTGCCCAAGAGTTAGGGACACAGACCTCGTCCTGTTGCTCAATGGGGCAGCTAGAGGAGTAAGTCTGTGGAGATTGGCGAAACATGAGCATAAGCCAGCCCAGTTCCCATGCGCTAGGGGGTGGCGTACCCTGTTAATGTACTTTGCGTAATTGAAAGTAGCATTGGACACAGTGATGCCCTGTACGGTATGCACTGTTGCGTTATCGGGCGCTCCCAGAGCCGCACAGAACCTCGCGAAGCCATTGCTGTTGACTGCGGGATCCCAATTCGTGTTCTGCCAGCCGCCCAATGGTGCCTGCACATACAATGTGAGTCGGGATCGCACTCCCAGGTGACCTGCAACTGACGCTGCGCGCGACAGATCGCAGCTAGACGCACCGAGAGCAGGGACGCGACGTCGGGATCGTATGATACGCCCGAAAGCCCGAAGACAGCCTTGATTGCGTCATGCGTCTTCTTGTTCGCGATCAGAGCGTCGAACTCGTACACGGTCTTCTGCACTTGCGCGATGCACTCCGCGGGGGCGTACTGCCGGATGATGTCGAAGTAGCGCCAGTCGACGACCGTTGCGTGCGTCACGCCGCTGGAGGAGATCGCGGCGAAGACGATGTCCGGGTAGAGCACGCGCATGTGTGCGGCCCGCGCCCCACCGTACGAACCCTGCGGACGCGTGGAGGTCAGCTTTCATCCATGAAGCGAAGCGGTAGTACAACATGTGGAGGAGAGATATTTTTGCACGCCAAGCGATAGCATGTGGAGGAAGAACGCCTTTACTGACCCCGTAGTAGATCCACGGCGTGCCGGGTGCCGTCAGGTCTGCAGATATGTTCGGGAACGTGACGTTCGCGATGAAGTTGGCGGAGTCTGCTGCTGCTTGCTCATTGTTCAACCACCTGCAGAGGAGCGTAGCGTCAGGTCCGACCCTTATCGCTAGATGTCACGAGAACACGATGGTGGACGGCATGTACCTCAGCGAGTCCGTTGTGAAGTTCTGGACTGGCACGGATTCACCTAGAGGAACCGCTCATGAGTCGGAAGGCGCGTTACAACCAGCGAGACGCATACCGTAGTACCTGTGCTCCAGGACGATACCCAGGCCATTCGTCGCGTTGGCGAGGATATCGATGATTCCGGTATCCAGGATGGGTATGCGCTCGTCCCCGGGACCTTCGCCAGCCTCAAAGACTATGACTGGTCCACCAGGTTTGTAATGGCGGTCGCTGAGCCAGTACCGCTGCTGGAAGGTGAAGCCGGTGTCGGAGAAGTGGTCCAGAGGCTGCGTGAAGTTGTACTGGGGGAACGACGCGCTCTGCCGCTTGCTGAACGACGACCCGGTTTTGGCTGCCAGCTTTACATATTGCGGGTTGGAGGGCGCCAGAGCATTGACAGACAGAGCGAACGCGAGCGCCGCCGAGGCCAGGCCGCCTAACCGCAGGCTCATCGAGGACATGGAGATGAGTGTCTGGTCCGAAGCCAGAGGAGCTCGTACGGCAACGGGCTGAGTATATATACGCCCCCCGACCGGGAGAAGTCTGGGATAAGTACATGTGGGTGACGGTCCATCTGCGTGGCCGGATCAGCTGCAGCCTGCATCATTGGAAGGCGAGGCACTTGCCGCTGGTGTAGTTGAGATAGTAGCCTAGATCATGATCCGCAATGCCCGCGAGCGCACTCTTTGTACTACGTCAGCCCCTTCGCCCAGATCCCTGAAGACGTTCCACCACTCCTGTCAAGTTATCTTAGGCTGTCCGAGTGCTTGCTGTGTATTTGAGTACTGTACTCACAGCGGCCGCGTCTACCGGGCATCAACCCGGATGCTACTAGGTTGTACACAGTCTCAGAGACTCAGAATCAGACGAACGACATTATTTACGGCGAAGGCATGATGGACGTACTCATGATGCAACTCGACGCGACAAGGGGTCCCTGGAGTCAGGGCCCTTGTGATGCTAGCGGATGTCAATACAACGCATGCCGTCGACCTTTAAACTCGCCGTGAAATTGTGAGTGCGTCGAGACTGGACAGCAGCAAAAGGTGGTTATAAGTAGAATCCCACGATGTGAAACCACACAGTACTTTTTGTTGCAAAGAGACAAGAAGAGAGGGTGCCTGGGGTGGGCGGACGCCGGACACATCACAGAAAAGGCGTCGAGCTGGTAAGTTCCGAGATTATTGGTTGTCTAATAATGACACTATACTTAAGCAGTATCATTGTGGCTATAGGATGATAAGTAGATTGTAAGTCCGATACTATCCTGGCGCTAGTTACAGCCACCGCGAGCCTTGCATCGCCTTGCCATGACCTGCCAACTCCCTTGCGACGTTCTTGCTACACACTACCATCTTGCAACCTCCTTGCAACGCTCTGGCGATGGCCTGAGAACGTCTTCCCAGCTCGGTGCTCTATGTCGTATCGCTCTGACTATCGCCATCACGACTGTACCGTTCCATGGCGGGATTTCAACTTCCCGCCCCAACATAAGGCCAGCCCCGTTGTCGTTGCTCTTGCATCCCTCCCCCATCCTCCCCCTTATCCCGCCTGACACGGCGACTTGAACACGCACGGACTTTTGTTTCCTCAAGCTGCCATGGAGCTCCGTGACCGCGTAAGGCTACTCGCCGTATCATCAAGACTTGTTCAGCTGGTCTCGCTGTCCGCCGTGTCCGTGACGGTCCCCCTTTGGTGCTCGCGGCTCTCTTGTCTGGTGTCTGAACTTCTGCTCTCTGGTCCTCTGCTGACAGATCGAAACCTGCTGGCCTCTGAAATCTGTGAACTCTCCTTCTCTGGGTCTCTCTTGCATCCTTTCCGTCCTGCGGCTGCCGGCAACGCCATGACTGACGCGTCCGACGTCGCAGAGATGTCTCCCTTCCTCCGTCTTTAGGATATATCCCTCCTTCGTGTTTCCATATACATGTACGACGTCGACGCTGTTGTCACGCAGTGTTCATGTAGAGTAGCATTAGTGAATATATAAGATTTTCCCAACCTATCCCGTATGTGCCAGCGTGAGCCCGACGACCAAGCGACGACGAGAAAATGGACAGTGGTACTCTATGGACTTGGAAGCCCTTTGTAATCGACTGCGACCGCTGAGAGCCTCCCAACACTTGCAGGCTACGGGACTATTGCCGTGCTTGGAAGGGCCTTGGATCACGTGTGAGGGGACGAGTCCCCTCTTAGCGTTGTTGCCATGGATTGCGTAGTTACAATTCTCTTATCCCTCATAGTGACACTACCAGCTGATGATAACCCCATTATAACCGGATACAATTTCGCCGCCAAAACTGTGATGGCCATTTACGGTGAAGGTTTACCCTTCTACCAATCACAGTACATTCTAATAATATAGTGCAATAATACAGTGCAATTTGACATGCCCCATGGCTGAGTTGGTTACAGCGTCCGACTGTTATACGAGGGGTTTCACCCTTCAAAGCAATCGGAAGGTCGTGAGTTCGAGCCTCACTGGGGCAGTAGATTTTGTTGAAGGTGATTTCTTTAGTCCTCTTGTCTTTGTTTTTTTTCACTACCTGTACCTTTCTTAGTCTCCGTAGCTTGACCATATAATACCTTTCTGAGCATTGTCTCAAAGTCTCCTAAGCAGCAACACGGGCTCGCATGGTCAAATTATGATAGCAGTCCCACCCAGGTGATCGCGTTCGGTACGGAGCGCCGGGAGCGGGACTTTCCACAGAGGCCATCTTGCGG